CGCCGCCCCGCCCCGTGCGCCGTGACGTCACTCCCGCGCCAGCCTTGCGCGTCTGCGCATTTCCCCGACCCCGGCCCGGCGTGGGAGGGGCGGCGCGGGCAGGGGCGGAGCTCTAGTCCTGTGCCGCAGACGGCCGTTGTTAGGAATCCCCCCTAACAAGTGAGGGGGCGCCAGTGCCGGGGCGGCCGCAATGCCCCGAGGCTGCCCGCGGTGTGTGGGGACGAGGGTCGGAGCTGCGGGCCCGTCCTCGGTGCCTCCGGGAAAACTCGGGAGTACGGTGGACGGAACCCGCGCATTACAAGCGTTGCTCAACGACGGGGGTCCCAGCCCACCGTACAGACCCGATACGACAGCGAGGTTCGCGTTGAGCCAAAGTACGGGCTGGGCTACACCTGATGTGGGTCGCAGTAGAGTCACGAGAGAACACAGGTCACTGCCCCCTGCAGGGAGGGTAGTAGAACGCGGCACAGAATGAAATGGAAGGCTTCCTAAGCCCAGGCACCTCTGACCTGCTCTGGAGGAGCTGGTGCCAGCCACAGTGGGCGCGTTCACCTTAAGGTACTGTGGCTTTACTAAAAACTTAAAACTGAGAAGCAAGACTTAACCATATTTTGTTCTGATGGGGCAAGCGGAGAAGGAAGCCTGCAGCACCCAAGAAGCTGCTGGAAGACGCGCCTAACACCGTTATTTGGCACTGCTTGAGTCACTGGTTGTAACTGTCAGCTGATGATTCCGTATCAGAGTTAAGCAAGTTAACGCACTTAATGATTTGTGTACTTTTCTCTATATTAGCCAGTAAAACGTTTGGATAAAACAGCAGCCACCCAGATGTCTTCCGTGCACTCTACCCTGGGCTAGATCCACATGGCAGCCTCGGCTACCCTCCCCACTTGCTATGGTCTGAATGTTTGTCCCTCCAAATTCGTATGTTGAAGTCCTAACCCCCAAGGCGACGGTATTAGGAGGTGACTAGGTCATACGGTTGAAGCTCTCATGAATGGAAGTAGTATCCTTAGAAAATGGACACCCCCACCCCCACCCCGAGAGCTCCCCTGCCCTTTCTACCATGTGCCTATAAGCCAGACAAGCCATTGGTCACTGGAAGAGGTGGGGCATGGGTGGAGGGTGCACTGGCTGGAGTGTTCTGGGCAGAGGCATCATCAGTGTATGTAGATGGCAATAAGCTGGACTGAGGAGGGTGGAGGGCGCCAGAGATGCGCAGCAGCACAAGGAGGGCTGGGCACAGTGAAGCCATTGCAACCTTGGAGGAAGGGGGCATGGGACAGAGCAAAAGCAGACAGTGCAGCTGGGTGGCCAGCCCAAAGCTAGCAGGGACCGGAGCAGTGGCTGGAGGAACATAGGTTGAGGAAGGCTGTTCATGCAGTAACCATGTGGAACAAATGGGTGTCCTTGTCCAGGCTCTGCTCCGTGGAGCTGGGGGAGGGGCAAGAGGGCTGAGGAGGGAAGGGCCTGTGAGGTAGGGCCCTACCCAGCCCCTTGTGCTGCAAGCCCACACAGACTGCTGATGCCCACCTCATCCCAGATCATCCCACTGAATGTGTCTGGCTCTAAGGTGAAAGGGAGACAGCTTGGTAGCCAGGCCCTGCGATGCCACAGGATGGGGACAAGGGGCAGCCCCAGGCCTGGGTCTGGCGTGTCTGTGTAGTATATGCACTCTTCTGTCTGGTAGAAGCCAGTGGAATGTGAAACCAACTCCAGGAACACAAAGTAATGGCAGACTGTGGAAGGCCCAGTTGCATATATGTGGATACTTTGCAGACTAGACTGGGAGACAGCCAGGCCTGTCCACTCCCCTGGGGCAGCCTCATTAGGGAAAATCCAGGGAAGGGAATGCTGGGGAGGCCGGCTGCAGGCTATGCTCTGGATGGTCCCTACATCCTGGAATATCTGGCTATTCAGGGCCACTGTGTTCCATCCAGAAAGCGGTAACCCCAGGCTCTCCTGAGGCTGGGAAGGCAGAGCTGGGGGTGATGGTAACTCCCTGCCCAGAAGTCCATGTGTGCCATGGCCCCGTAGCAGTGTCCAAATCCCACAGGTTTGACCTAAACCAATCCTAAACCCCTCTCACCTGCTCTGAGCCCCAGAGCCCCCTCTTAGCTGATGTTTTCCAGGAAGTCGAGCTGTAGGGCCAGGCACACACTGAGAAGGAAGACAATAACAGGAGATAATTTAAAATTAATTTAAAGATGGACACCCTCCTGTTTTCACAATGTCCCTGGGTCATTACAAGCTGCAGTCACTTCTTGGTCTTGGTCCAAAACCGTCTGTAACGCTCCACATCAAAACTGTCGACAGGCTCTGGCTCCTCCTCCTTCCTCGGCCGGAGCTGAGCCTCGCGCCTCCGGAGCCTGGCCCTGCGCTCCTCGGGAGAAAGGGTGTCCAGGTCTATGGGCATCTGTGGGGGGAGAGTCCAGGGTGCATCCATGTGGCTGGGAGAATGCCAGAGCTACTGAAATGATGGCCCCAGCCTTCCTCTCAACTGTGTCTTCCATCTTACACTAGCTCAATTTGTGTATTTTCTGTTGGTGCTTCCTGCCCTTCAAAGCTTTCGTTTTTTAAAATTTTAATTCTGCTCCTTTTCCCTAAATTCGATTTTTTAAAAAAGCACACAGCCTGTTAATCCCATCTGATTTTGGCACTTGCAGTGAGTTCTGGGTCTAAACCCTCCTCTCCTAAAACAACCTGCTCCCTGCATGCAGTGCAGTACAGTGACCACAGCTCCTCACCCCCACAACTTCCTCTGCCCTCAGGCAGGCACCAGAGAGTGCCAGGTGGAGGCTGCTCACCACCAGCATGCGTCGAGGCTCCCTGTAGCGGATGTGGATGGTAGAGCCGTCCTGCCTGACCAGCAGCACTGGGTAGAGGCGTGCATAGGCCTGGCGGCGCACACGAGTAAGCAAGGCCCTGTTGCTGTCGGCCCACCAGGAGGATGTGTGCAGGTGGTGAGGCATGGGGGTGGCTGCTTTCATGGCACTCTGCCGCAGCAGGCTGCAGATAAACACACGTGTGCTGGTCGAGGTGGTGCCGGGATAGAGTGCCAACGTGGCCCAGGCCAGCACTATGTGGGCATGTCAGAGAACTGCCTGACTGCAGAAGACACCAACAGAGCCTGGTGATCCACGCCAAGGGCAGAATGGGCCTTGGCGGGGGATCCCTGAGGAACCACAGTCAGTGATCAGAGCAGCTCTGGCCCCACAGCCAGGAAGAGGCTGCTAAGGGGTGAGCAAAGGCAGGAAGCTCCCAGCACTGAGGACAGAGGATGACAGCGAGGACCAGGCAGGCTTAGATCAGCCCTCTCCTGGTGAAGAGCAGGACATTCCCTGGTGTGGCCCCTGACAGTAATTCAAGGGGCCTGGAAGTCCATGCTTACCCAAGCAGGGTGCCCATGGCCGCCATTCCTCCTTAGACCCCTGGTGGCACGTGGAGGTAGTCAGTCACTGGCCCTGCTGTGTGAACTGCTGGGCAAGAAAAGATGAGATCTTAAAGGAAGGCTCTGCCACCTAATTGATCCTCGTCAAATCACAGCCAGGAATGAAGCCACAGACCGAGGGAAATCTCGGACACCTATGGAATCACCAGATCACTCGCCCACCTCTCCCAGTAACCCCGCAGGCTCCTCAGATTAGAATCGCCTTTTTGGAAAGTTCTTTCAAAAGCAGATGCTTGAGCCCTACTCTCAAAGATCCTGAGTCAGTCTGTCGCAAGGCCCTGTTGCCCCTTCCATTGGGTCAGGGAGTCAGAGAAGTTCCTCCAGAATGCAGTAAACAGTGGAGTTTGACCCATACCTTGGTCGTCACTAATTTTCACAGAAAGCCAGTGAGGTGAGGATTATCACGCTGCTTACAGAATGGAAATAGAGGCCCAGTCGCTGCTTTTGCTATGGGCCAGGGAAGTCCAGGTGAAGGCCAAGAATTTCTAATACTCTATTGCACGGGTAGCCAAGCACGCGGTTTCCTTTGGCGTTCTCTACAACTAACCAAGGAAGGGACCCAATGGGAGAGGTCCTGTGCTTCTAAAATGGACATCCCACTTGGTCAGTACCCTATGTCCACAACCCCACCGTGACAGAGGCCCAGGGCCAGCCCAAGGGGTCTGTAGGGAAAGCCCCTGCCACCTCCCGCCTCCCTTCCCCGGACCCCACCGCGACAGGGCCCCGGGCTGGTCCAGCCTCTCCCTGCCCCCTCCCGCCCCCCGGGACTGCTCTGCGCCCGCACGAGGCGCCAACCTGCGTCCACCACTCTCGCTGCGGACCGACCTCGAGGACGAGTAGCCCGGAAACCCACTGGCCAGATGGGAAACTGAGGCCAGGGGCTAGGCCAAGCAGAGGGTTACGACCCGCGCTGATCCGGCGCCGCCGCCCGCGACGTCACCTGCAGGCGCTGAGTCGAGCGGAGCTAACGTCATGAGGGGCGGAGCCGACGCGGCGCAGGCGCATTCCCCGAGGGGCGGAGCGAGGCCGGAGTGGACGGCGCCGGCGCGGTTCTGTGTCGTACAGGGGCGGAGATGGGCCGGCGCGGTGCTGACGTGGAGCCCTGCGGGGCGGGCAGGCGGCGACAGGGCCCCGGTCTGGTCCAGCCTCTCCCTGCCCCCTCCCGCCTCCCGCCCCCCGGGACTGCTCTGCGCCCGCACGAGGCGCCAACCTGCGTCCACCACTCTCGCTGCGGACCGACCTCGAGGACGAGTAGCCCGGAAACCCACTGGCCAGATGGGAAACTGAGGCCAGGGGCTAGGCCAAGCAGAGGGTTACGACCCGCGCTGATCCGGCGCCGCCGCCCGCGACGTCACCTGCAGGCGCTGAGTCGAGCGGAGCTAACGTCATGAGGGGCGGAGCCGACGCGGCGCAGGCGCATTCCCCGAGGGGCGGAGCGAGGCCGGAGTGGACGGCGCCGGCGCGGTTCTGTGTCGTACAGGGGCGGAGATGGGCCGGCGCGGTGCTGACGTGGAGCCCTGCGGGGCGGGCAGGCGGGCGCCGAGGGATGGCCTGGTGAGCCGGGGAGGGCGGGCGAGGGCTGGGCCGCGCGGTGGGCCCCACGTCGCTGTGGGACGGCCGCTACCAACCTGAAGAGAAGCTCCAAGAAACCGCCTCTCCAGAACAAAAGATTTTATTTGGGACTAGCAGAGGGTCGCAACAGCCGAGGAAAGCGGGGGCTAAGGGGAGTGTCTTTAAAGACAAAGCCAGCCCGGCTGGTTAGCACAGTCGGTGAGAGCGTGGTGTGGGTAACACCAGGGTCGAGGGTTCGCGTCCCCATACCGGCCAGTCGCCAAATATTAAAAAAAATAAATAAGTAAAGAGAAGCTCATGCTAACAGCTTTGGAACGAGGCTCCCGCTCTGGGGAAGTCTTTGCAGGACTTTGTGGTTGCTCACTGGGGAAATAGTTGTTGCTAGGAGACTGCCCCGGTCTTATCTGAAGTGCTGGAGGCCAGGGGAAATTCCTGTGTTAAGCTTTGTTTGCTCTGTTCAGGAATTTAAGCCTGAGGGCTTCCTCTCCAATTTTTTTAGTAATTGTTCTAAGGTCTTCATTTGGAAATTTTTCCAGCCGGCCCGTGACAGAAATTTGATTAGCGGGACTTTTTGTTTTGGCGGCTGGCCAGTTAGGGGATCCAGACCCTTTACTGTTATCAGCACCACGCTCTACCATCTGAACTAACCCTCCATCTCCCTGATTAGTGGTACTTTTAAGATCAGCATTCTTTGCAGCGTTATCAGCAAGATGATTTCATTTAGTCTCCATAGAGTCTAGTTTTGAATGGCTTAGGATCTTAATAATGGCCAGGGGAGTGGATGTTGTATCTAATAAGTCTTTCACATATGGTCCACTTTTTATTGTGTCTCTACTGGAAATGAGGAAACCTCTGCTTCTGTAACATTCCAAAATCATGAACAATTCCAAATGCATACTGACTGTCTGTATAAAAATTAGCAGCAGACTGGTCGACGAGCTCAGTAAGTTACAGGGCAGGCTTGTAATACCATGGTCAAGGTTCAGATACCCTTACCAGCCAGGCACCAAAAAAAACCCCCCAAAAATAGCAGCTATTACTTTAGAAAGAAAGCAGGCTCTAGTGATGGCAAGTACCTATGCCTACAAGGTAGAAGTAACTGAAGGCAAAGGGGCTGCTGACACAATTTCAAGGGCCGTGTTAATAGCATAAGGTGTAAAATATTTAGGCCAGCCCAAGGGGTCTGTAGGGAAAGCCCCTGCCACCTCCCGCCTCCCTTCCCCGGACCCCACCGCGACAGGGCCCCGGGCTGGTCCAGCCTCTCCCTGCCCCCA